TTGTTCATAAGCACTCGTCCTGTGTGTTTTCTTTTCGTGCATCTTTTGTGCTTGAGCAGCAGCATGTTGCATTTTCTTTTCGTGCGTCCTTTGTGCTTGAGCGGCACGTTGCATGTATGAAGCTGCTTGCCTTTCTTCGTGTGACATTCTGATTTCTTGACATCACATTCACTGCTTTGCCCTTGCCTCAAAACTAACTTTTTTTTCACATGCATTTTCGCAAAATGGGACCATGGGGGCCCTCGCTGCATTACTGCTTTGTAAGTGGGGAGTTAGACAGGTTGACACACCTCTACCACATGTAAAAGGTTGCGATGTCGATATGAGAGTTAACTGTTCACAACTTAAAGGATTTTCAAGGATGGCAAAAAATTTGAAGACTTTTAAGAGCCTTGAAAATGCATATTTCAAATTCAAGGGTTTTCAAGGATTTCAAGGACCTGTATGCACCCTGATTGATATGTGGGGTTTAACGTCCCAAAACCACTATATGATTATGAGAGACGCACCTGTATGCACCCTGCTGAGAGCATTCTTGTTTGATAAAAACATGGAAGTGTTTCTGTTGGCTGGGTTGGTGAAGTGCTGCAGGGATGGCGTTCTCAGGTTCTGTCAAGATTGCAATGCAGAGGCCGAATTGTATTTATTCAGATGATTAAGTGCTATCAATGTGTGTTGACAACACTCTAGTCTAGAAAAGAAAATCTTTTCTTCCACCTCTCCCCTCTTCAATTTCTTAGGAGGCCCAAATAATTTAGTGGACAATGGCATACTCCCCTTCGAATTTGGAGTTGCTAATCTGCCCTGTAGACATCAATGTATAATAACATCTGAAATTTTAGATGTTCAAAATTCTTGTTCAATTTTTTGGCATTAATTAAAGCCCCATCTATGTCGCATAGGTTCAAAGCAGTGCTTTCATGAGTCGATCTATTACAGCGATAGCAGAGCCCTAAAAGCAGCATTGCCACATTACCAGGGTGTCAGGCGGCGAAGAATACTAAAAATATGAAGAGGCCATTGTAGCTGTGCAGTACACCTTCATGTAGGAATCGGCCTTTTCTCAAGTCAACACATTTGCTACCAAAACAGAGCCTGGAAGACAGCTTCATCACACTGCAAAATTGTAATGGGGTGGAATATACCAAAATTTCAAGTGGCCACTGTCTTATCAAACGTTGACTTGGTTTTCGGAAAGTTTGAATAGTCCAAGTTCTAGTGCGAATCAAATAGAAGAGCGGACACTACAAACAAAATATTTTAAAGTTCAAATATTCCCACATCCCAACATATCACCCTCACATCAATACATCATATTTTGAGTTTAAAAGCTTGTTACACCGCCGTATATGCTCCAAGTAAATAAAATTTTAGATGTCACATATTCCACAGGTCATCACTTGCATTCTACAGAAAGTCAGATTCAGTGACGCTACCGAAATCTTCTGCTTTGAAGCAATTTTCGAGCAGCGAAATGTTCATATTGTAGCATTTTGGAGCAGCACAATTTTCCACTTCGGAGCACTATGGAGCAGCCAACTTCACATCTTGGACCAGAAGAAAGTTACATTTACATTCAATCATTTTGGGGCTCTTGTGAAGAGCTAGAAATATTTCAGTTGATGATGCAAAATAATGGCGTCATGTTGTAGAGCATTATGAAAAGCTTGTTCTGTGATTATTTTTGTAGCAAATAAACAGAATACTGGTTGAATAAAATTTTGCTTCATGAAATAACATTTTAAATATACTTATGTGGTTATCAGCAAATATGGTAGAGAAACGCTGTGACGTACAACTCTAAAAACTCATAAAGCCAACCTCTTCCGGCACTAATCTCTCTGTGCTGAAACTACACAATTTAAATAACTTTGTTCTCCTTTTGCAGCTATGTTTTATGTAACTGGGGCGTTCTGTCTATACTCCAAAAACCCCTACAGTGTTCCTTATTGAGCAGTGCATAAAAAAAAAACCTCACAAGTTACCTTATATACGCCTAAAATGACTCGAAGGCAAGAGCTATTTTGTTTTTATTGCGATAGCAATTATATGGACATTCTCAACTGGTCTTAGCCATTGTCAGGAGCTTAGGCAAAAGTTTTTCTTTTTTTTGGGGGGGGGGGCGGGGGGGGGTGCATTTCAAGAGGAGGCACCAGCCAGGCGAATGTTATATATGCCATGACGAAAAAGAATTTCGGAGCACTGCGCTGGGCAACTGGGAGGACCCCCTGGAGCATGTCAGTCCCCGAGAAGCCGCTGACGGTCGAGTACACGAAAAGGTCATATATGAAATTGATGACCGATTACACCGCATCTTCGCCAGAAAAAATGGGCACGGTCAGCGACGTCGACAGGGCCATGGTCACAGTGTGCCTCGACGTCCGTGACCCAGGGGTGGGGTTCTTCCCGTTGGGCGCCAAATGTTGGGGTTCGAGGCTGAGGCTAGCCCGAAAATCCCGTGGGGAAGACGCAGAGGCCAACAAAAACCTTGTTTATATCAGAACCCGAGCTGCAACTGCCTGCTGCTAGCGGCTGCCGTGTGCCACGAGCCCACTCGCGATCGTCGTCCTCCTCTTCTTTCTGTAATCGGCAGGCTCACAGCTGCTGCTCCCATAACCTTTAAAAAAATTAATCCAACACGCATCTTTCGACAGATAGAGTCCAAAAATTTCCTCTGCGTAAAAACGAAACCAAAACTGCGTTGTTAACAGCCTCCCTTCAGAGGAGTCAGATACAGTGTCCGTCACCATCACACAATGGCGATGGACCAAGAGTTTGCATACAATGCCTTCGAGCGCGACTGAGCTATGCTCATTGTAATTTTTTGCCTTGTAAAGTTTAACTAGTGGTGTCTCGCTCTTATTAAGAACCTTGACATCAAGTGAAAGTAATTTTGCATGGTGACAACAGCATTGTCGCGCACTTATGCGTGTGCAAGCCTGTGACTGCGAGTGCAACAAAGGCAGATCAGCTGCATGTTGACCAGGAAAGGTTTCCACAAACCGAAAACAAAAAAATTTCGGCTTTTCAGCCCACTAAAGCTACTCTGTGTAGAAAGAGCTTGACTGGGTAACAACCCCCGGATACGTACGCACATGATCGAGGCGTAAGTAGAAGCCAACGATTTTAGATTAATTCAGCTGACAAAGAGCGGGGCCTTCTAGAGGTGCAAAATGACTCTCTGCAATCGCCAACCAGGCGAGGGTGCTGCGGTTGCATTAGGATTGGTCTCGGCGGATCTTCTGCTACTGTGCTACTGCTTCCAAGGAGCGTACAAGCAACTACTACAAAGGCTACCTCAATATAGTTGCTTTCCAACACGTGAGGAGTCACGAAAAAAGTGCCAAGCTGCTGAATAATATAGTTTAAAATGGTTTAATTGAACACGCGTTCTGTCACAACGGCTTCGCAAATAACCAAGTCTCTCCACCTGTGGACATCGATGTGCGCATTTCATGTGCAATGATTTTTTTTTAAATACAATGAAAACTCGCTTGTTTAAATAAATTAGCAGCTAATGGGCATAAAACGGGAATAGATTGCACGCGTTCTGATGCTTACAGAACCCATTTTGAGAATGTGCACGCGCCAGAGCATCTAGGATACGTACTTCGCATGCAGGGATGTAACTCCACGTTTACAGTTACTCGCTCACGACAAACGCGCACGCGTAGGTGACCGCACACACCAGCGTCGACATAAAAAACAGTAGTGATGGCAGGAGTGTGCTACACACAACAAAGAACCTGACAGTCAGCTCCACTACGCTTGCCACTCCACTCTCTGGTTTTCACTAGGCAACAGAGGCAGCCAAAACACACAGCCTAGATAGTAGAAACAGCACGCTCAATGCAAGGCAGCACATTTTCGCGGAGTCACGCGTACAACAGTTTAGAGATTATGGTGGCACCATGCATGGCAGCTTCGTCACCAGAAAAATGCAAAGTAAAAAAAAAACACAATTGAGGGCCTGATTAGTTAAATCAGCCTTTTTTTCCCCCACAGAAGCTGAGCTTTGCATCAAAATTCTAGCTTTCGAGGCTGTTTTGGAGCAGTTCGGCGCAATTTCCGCAATTGTGTTTTTGGAGCAGCTTGGCGCAAAAAACGGAAATGTATCAAAAATGCGCAATATGCGTAGCTGTATCGCCCCTGCTAACTGAATGTATTTAAAAATGTTGGTAGAAGCACATGAGCTTCCAGGAGAGTAAAGTTTTCACTCTAAGAAGACATTTTGTCTCATTATACTTTTCTAATCATCAACCTAGGGGAGTGCAAGTTCATAGTTTGCACTCGTAAATATTTGCTCGACGTTTGATTCAAATAAAAGGTTTTTTCTGTCAAATAGAATCTGAAAGTTGTCGTAAGATGCGGTGTCGGCGTAAAACTGTGACGTATAACCAAGGTTTTTAATACATTATCTTTACGGAGATTTTGCCGGGAACAGATTGCTTCGTCGTAATATGCGGGTTGTCGCGACACCAGGGGATGTATATTCGAAGTTCCACTGTAATTCAAGTTTTCTTCCCAGATAATACCAGAAAGACGCTGTACAATGCATGGTAGGCATAAAAATTGCATATATCACGTGGGTTTTCAATACATTATTTCCAAGGGGTTTTGCAGGGACCAAACCGATTTGTTGTAAGGTGCAGGTAACCAAATGACCACAGGTGGCATGATTTTGGTGGTTCTACAGTATTTCAATTTATGACACGACCTTGTTATAACAAAGTCAATAAACATGTTGAATAGAACAGTTGACTAGAGTTTGGCACGTCACTTAGAACAACAATTTATATTATACTGGGCGATTTACGAATAATGAAAATTTATTATCAGACTGTGTCCTCCCTTCGAAAGGACAGACTGAGTTGGTAGTACCTAATTCAGACATTAGTGCAAAGAAGCACATGGACAGAGAAAGAGTGTTACACGATAGTGTTGCTCTTTGACCGTTCATTTGGTTCTTTTTCCACTGGATGAATTTCGGCCCCTCTTACCTCCAGACACAAGGACACCATCGTCATTTATGCCAAGACAGTTGACGATTGCATTGTGACCAGAAAGATTCTGGATGAACTTCCCATCAGGGCACTTCCACTGCTTTATGTTGTCAGGGCCCCCAGATGCAAAGGTGTACCTGCACACAGTGAAACTGCTGTCATGGAATATGTAACGTTGGTAGAAAAAAAGAGGAAGTTTTAAAGGAATGGACAATTGTGATCACTTCTGTGATGGAAAGATTCTGTCTCGTGAAGACTCCAATGCGCAATGTTAGCCTCATCAAACGAGGGTGTATATACTTTTCATTTATTGTGAAGAGAGATGAAAGGGTGCCTCAAAACATTAACAAAGTAGTATACTCAAACAGGCTGCTTTCAGTTAGTTCAGTATGCGAATCTTAGACTTTAAATCAAAACCCAGTACACTTTTTATAGTTTTACAATTGGTAGGAGAATTCAAACTATAACAAAACCCAATGTTACAAATTGCCCAATACAACAATTGATGGAACAAAAAACAAACAAACATAGCAGGTTGCATGTCCAGGCTGCTTTGACTTCTCACATGAATGGGCATGGGTTATGGGCAAGTTCAATTCCCTGGCACCTTTTATATTTCGCTACGTTACAATTTTCTACTTCGTAGACCTCAAAACTCTTTTACTTCGTTTTATGAACTTCCCAATTCAACAAAATAATTCAAGTGCAAATGCTGCAATTGATGCAGAGAATTTACAGGGACAATAATCAAGCCAATAGTGTCCCTCGAATCACCCAGTATGTTAGAACAACTGTATTAGAACAGTTGAGATGAATTACCAACTCGCCTAGCAGTCCGTGTTTAGAACAATGTCGCCTGTTGAATTCATTATTGGGGACATTGGCACAACAAGTAGCTTCAACAAAATAAAACAAAGGTTCTAACTAGGCTGGCTAGATGTCTTAAGGCGACTATGCTGGAGCAAACACTCAATGTAAAAGGTGTTTACAGCCTGAATTCCTAAAGAAATTGGCTTTTTTTTTACTAGCTTATTTCATAAATATCTTTGTTAAGTAGGTTCCGACGTTAACTTTGTTTCACTAGCCACTGGCTCGCTTTGAAAGAAAGACTACATTAAACTTTAATTTCGAAGCGTGCCAGGGGCCGGCAACCGGAAGCAGAGTGTCGAGAACACACAGGCCATCTAAAACCTCGGAGGGCATACTTTACTTTTTTACTGAATCCCTGGGTGGCGGTGCTGTGAATAAGTATGCTCACTGTCAAATTTCTTCTTCTTTAGTTCAAATTTCCTGTAACTTTTCGTAGCAATGCGTAGCGACTAAAGTTAGATAAAAGAAAACCAAAGCAACACAGCTGTACACGACACTAAAAAAAAATCCAACATCTGCAGCTGCGATTCAAACCTCGGTATTTTGAGTGGGAAGCAGGCGTTCTACCTCCAAGCCACTTTGACAGAGCTGCGTGCAGCACTTCAAACGACCGCACATTGCAGACAATTGGCTGCAGTGCCACGAGCAGATTGGCCCTGTTTGGGTTTCACTTTTCAAAGCTTGGTCAGGGCACTGCTTTGCTCTAGTTGTGGGGTCTGTGGATGAAGCAACACGCTCTCGAAGCGCACGAAGATAGTAGACGCGGCTGGACCGCACCAAACAAATGCATTTATTTAACTGCTTTTCACATCGACGATATTGTCTGCTGAATCAAAATACATCACCATCATCATCAACAACACCATGACTATGTCCACTTCAGGACAAAGGCCTCTCCGTAGTTCCACCAGTCAACTCGGTCCTGTGCTTGCTTCTGACACTTTATACCCAAAAACATTGCCTTCCTAACTTTCTGTCCCCCCTAACCTGCTTGCCTTCTCTAGGAATCCTGTCAGTTACCCTTAATGACAAGCGGTTATCCTGCCTACGAGCTACATGCCCGGCCCATGTCCATTTTTTCTTCTCGATTTCAACTATGATATCCTTAACCCCGGTTTGTTCCCTGATCCACTCTGCTCTCTTCTTGCCTCTTAAGGTTACACCTTAAGGTTACACCTACCATTTTCCTTTCCATCGCTCGCTGCGTCGTCCTCAATTTAAGCTCGACCCCCTTTGTAAGTCTCCAGGTTTCTGCTCCGTAGGTAAGTATCGGCAAGATGCAGCTGCTATATACGTATCAGTCTCTTGAGAGACAGCAGCAATCTACCTGTCATGATTTGAGAGCGCTTGCCAAATGTGCTCCACCCCATTCTTATGGTTCTAGTTACTTATATCTCGTGGTTCAGCTCCGCGGTTATTATCTTTCCTAAGTAGATGTAGTCTTTTACAACTTAAGTGCACTCTTACCTATATCAAGGCTGTTCTTTTCCTAGGTTGTTGTACATTACTTATATTTTCTGCAGATTAATTTTAAGACCTACCTTTCTGCTCTCCTTGTCTAACTCAGTAATCATGAGTTGCAATTTGTCCCCCGAGTTACTCAGTAATGCAATATTATCGGCAAAGTGCAGGTTACTAAGGTACTCTCCATTAACTCTTATTCCCAACTCTTCTCATTCTAGGCCACTAAAAACTTCCTGTAAGCACGTGGTAAATAACATCGGGAAGATTGTATCCCTGCCTTACACCCTTCTTCATTGGTATTCTGTTGCTTTATTTATAGAGCACTATGGTGGCAGTTGATCCTCTGTAGATTTCTTCCATGATGTTTATATATGCAGTAAAACACATAGCTAGGCAGGCTGTGCATGCTAAATAGGTTGTATCCATGATACAACCTATTTGGCATGCACAAAAAACAGGGCAAGAAAGAGACAGGCGAGTGCTATATATGCTTCATATATACTTTGTCGACACCCTGATTCCGCAGTGTCAGCATGACTACTGATATTTCTACTGAATCAAATGCTTTCTCGTAATCTAAGAAAGCTATGTATAGTGGTTGGCTGTATTCTGAGCATTTCTCTATTACAAAATTGATAGTACGAATGTGGTCGATTGTTGAGTAGCCTGTTTTAAATCCTGCTTGTTCTTTGGGTTGATTAAATTCTAATGTTCCGTTAGCAATCACCTTTGTAAATAGCTTGTATACTATGGAGAGCAAGCTGATCGACCTGTAATTCTTCAAGTCCTTGTCGTGCCCCTTCTTATGAATTAATATGATGTTAGAATTCTTCCAAGATTACGTCTGGTACCTTGCCTGTCAGGAGACACCTCGTAAACAGGGTGGCTAGTTTTTCTAAAACAATCTGCCCTCCATCTTTCAGCAGATCTGATGTTACCTGATCCTCACCAGCAGCTTTGCCTCTTTGCATTTCCTCCAAGGCTTTCCCGACTACTTCCGTCATTACTGGTGGGATGTCATCTGGGTTACTGCTAGTTCTTACATTATGGTGGTGGTTGTCCCGGCTACTGTACAAATGTATGTAAAACTCCTCCGCTACTTTAACTGTTCTATCCATATTGGTTGTTACTTTGCCTTTCTTGTCCCTTAGTGAATACATCTTGTTTTTGTCTATCCCAAGTTTTCTCTTCACCGCTTTGACGCTTTCTTTGTCTTTTAAAGCATGTTCAATTATATCCATATTATACCTTCTTACATCAGATACCTTAGGCTTATTAAATCAACTTCGAAAACTCTGTCAGTTCTATTTTGTATCTTGTGTTTGGCTTTTATGCTTTGAGGTCTCTAAATCATGTTCTTCGTCTCCTGGGACAGCTTGTCTCCTGTTTAACTACCGTACCTTCAACTTTCAGAGCACATTGCTTAATAATACTCGTCAGATTATCATTAATTGCATCAGCACTACGGTTGTTTTCCTTGATAAGAGTCTAGTATCTGTTAATGAGGTGAGTCTTCGAATTCCTGTGCCTTTCCACTTATGCTAGTTCATTGATTGACTTCTTGCGTATCAGTTTCTGTCGTTCCTTCTTCAAGTCCAAGCGAAGTCGGCAGCTTACCATTCTATGGTGACTGCATCGTATCTTGACAAGCACTTCCATATCCTGCATGATGCTTGGTTGTGGTACTTTCCCCATTAGGGCTCCTCCATGTCTACTCATGGTTCACTTGTTTTCGGTAGAAGGTATTCAAGATCCGTAAATTATTGCAGTTCCGCAAATTTTACTAGCCCCCCTTTAGCATTTCTAGTACCGAAGCCATAATCCCGTGCTGCTTTGTCTACATCCTGCTTCTTCCCTATATTGGAATTGAAATCGCCTATCAGTTTAGTATACTGTGTTTTCATCTTACTCATTGCTGATTCCACGTTCTCATAGACGCTTTCAACTAACGCGTCATCATGGCTGGATGTAGGTGCGTAAGCCTGTACCACCTTCATCTTGTATCTGCTTATTGAGTTTAATTACAATACCTACCACCCTTTCATTAATGCCATAGTATTCCTCTATGTTGCCAGCTATGTTTCTGTTAATAAGGAACCCCACTCCCAGTTCTCTTCTGTCAGCCAAGCCACGATAGCAAAGAACGTGCCCATTCTGTAGCACTATATACATTTCATCTGTCCTCCTAACCTCACTGAGCCCTATTACAGCCCATTTAACACCCTCTAACTTCTCGAATAGAACAGCTAGACTTGCCTCACTAGATTAGGTTCTAGTGTTAAACGTGATGATGATGATGATGTGTAGTGCTTTAAGGTGCAAGGGCCATTTGATGGACAAAGAGTGCCAGGTCAATGGACAAGTGATGCGAACGATGATTATGATAGGTGGCTGTAAAAGGGCCTTAAAATTTTTCGCACTGACGAGGGTAAAAACATAGAAGCACTAAAACCATGACATTGACATGAAATATGAGCAGTGAGAGTGAATAGCAAAAGGTCATAGTCTGACAGCGATGGAGATGTAGCCACCGCGGCAGCGACCTCTCTTCAGAGGTTGTGCTATGGAGTGCCTGGGTACATGACGTTAAAAGTCTGCTAATATGCCAGCAATGATATATGTGTGAAAAGGGGTCCTCTACCGATGAACATTGATGGGTGAAAAGGTATCTGTTGTTGATATGGCAATAAAAAGTGCTTTTTTCTGAGAGCATCTAAATCACTGCACTAGACAAGAATGTGGACAACCGCAAATGGTTCTCTACATCTCTCACACAATGGTGCATCGCCTCCAGACAAAGGGTATGAATGTGTAGAGCGTGTGTGTCCTATCTGTAGCCTTGTAAATGTGACTTGTGTGTAGCGCAATCTGGACACTGCTGGCCAATTTCCAATTTTCAGTTTGATAAGATGCAGTTTGTTTTCTGTTTGCCTATCCCATAGGCGCTGCCAGCACGCCCTGAGCTCCGGTTGTAGGAAAGGTTTCAGATCAAGTGCAGGGACAGCTATGGATGTATTAGCGGCAGCGTTGTCTTGAGCAGATGTGACAAGCTGAGCCGCCAACACATTTCCAGCAATCTCGCGATGCCCTGGCCCCCAGCACACTACAACATTTCCTTTGAGAGCATAGATCTTGCATAACAAAGAGTACAGTGACACAAGGACAGGATTAGCGTTAAACATGGCCAAGATCAGGTTCCAATGGTGGCCTGTCCGAGCCCAGAGATTCTTATCACCCTCTGCTGCGTTGCAAATCTGACCGCTGCCGTGGTCAGTTGCTTTGCAGCCACTGAGGACTGAGGGCCATGAGTTAATTGACATATGCATGTGGGAAAAAAACACATCACTAGTGACGAAGACGCTAAAACAGCCTCATGCAATATTTCAATACACTCAATCAACATAACAACAAACAAGGTAATGCGAAGACAGCGTCGCCGCACCCAATGGTGCCCCGTCAGAAGACAAACATGAATGCCAGCCATCACGCGTCAGAAGAGAACCTGCTCATGTCATGTGCCGCCAGTCAGCCTCGCTGCCAGGCATCACTACTGGCGCTACCGTGTTAAGTATGATGATGATAATGGTGATAAACGCTCACAAGCACAAGGCCACCTACTGCTCGATAGTTGTGAACCCTAAATGCAACCTATGCACGAAACACGTGTGCGCCACGAGGCGCAAACGACTTTATAGAGGGTGTTAGCCCCCTGACATAGTACACTCTTCAAATGCTGGGCTGTCTAATAATGAACACCATAGTAGAGGGCTCCCGAGATTTCTTATTTAATGAGCACCAAATCTAGGTACAGTAGAACAACGTTATAATGAAGTGGTATATAATGAACTAATAAATTTAATGAAGCAAATGTAATTCCTTTTGAAATTCTCATTGAGGCCGTTGTATTTAAAACCTCATTTTAACGAAGTGAAAATTTCCTTAGAATGAATATATCGACCCATTGTTTATTCACACGAGCATTTACTGATCATTTTGGTATACGACCATTGAATATTTTATAGCAGACGACGGTTTACACCTAATCACAGCTGCAGTAATTAAAAACTCGCGCCTTGCACTCCCCGAGAGCCACCTGCCACCACAAGCGTGGGTGCGAGTCTCCCTGCTCTCCTTTCCTCGGGAACTAATCGACTCGCCCCCGCAGCAACTCGCGCGAGCATGCGCATCTGCCGGCCTGCCCTCTCCAGTAGAACTCGTTGACCCGCCCGCGCATCTGACCTCCTTTCTTTTCCTCTTCAGCTCTGTGCCAGGACAGCGGAGATGGTGGCTTTGTTCCTTGTTCACCTCTGTAAAACATCTACACCACCTCTACCAGTTTCCGCCGTTGGACACGAGATGGATAACGGCTGCGGAAAACGTAAGCGCGAAGATATAAAAATCGAGCAGAAGTCGGCAAAGTTGGAAATCGTCAAGTCCAGCATAAAAAAAAAATTTGGTCGAAAATTTTGGCGATGTCGCCAGTGAGGGTGTCGCGGGCGACCAGGCCCAGACGTGGTGGGACGCTTTCCTTGACGCCAGCGTTATGCCTGGCTGCGACACTTTCTGCACGTACGTTGGTGCCAACGCTGACGCAGGTGACAACCAGCCAGTTGTCAGATGTGGAAATTGTGCGCACAATGACGGGAATGCATGACGACAGTGACGAATGTGTTGACACCCCGGAGCCTAATGTTGGCAAACCCGACGTACCAATGCCCGAGCGACGCTAAAAAGCATTGGCCCCGCAAGCGCTAGATGCGACAGACCTGCTGTGCCCTTTCTTTGGTGCTTACAATGACGGCGAGGCCGGACACAAAATAGCTGCTGCAGCTGAAACAGCAGACATCCGCGTGAGGAAAAGACGACAAAAGTGTATTAAGGACTATCTTCAAAGTGATCTGCCAGCTCGTGTGCTGAATTTGCCGGAAATAAAGTACATTGTTCTGTATTATTTTGCTAGTTTCTTGCCTTCCGACAGTTCGTTTTTCTCTGCCAGCCGGCTGCTGTGATATTCGGTGGTGAGTACATCCTTTTTTGCTGGCTAATTTTTGGTAAACTGGATATTGCCTATACCAAACAAATGGTCATAACAAAGTAATTATGACTCCCTCTTCCACTTCATTATAAGGAGGTTTGGCTGTAGATGGGCTTCCAACATCTTTGGGTGAGCAGTGAAAAACCCCTAGAGCAGCGCATTTTTTGCCGTTGCGCGAGAGAAGGGAAAAGCACGTACAGCCTGGGATGTACCACCAGTGCCCGTACGCTTTTCTTGTGGTGGGTCAGGGTGACGCGTGATCGACCAGCCACCAGGTCCCAGAGGCGGATCGTGCAGTCGTGGCTCCCTGTCAGCACCTGTGGCTCGGACGACTGTGTCTGCACGCTGGCCACTGTGTTGGTGTGGCCCACCAGCGAGTGGATGTTGGCCTTGGTCCGCATGTCCCACACCTGCAAGAACAGATCTAGTTGCTACATATGCATTCTAAAAAAACCATTAAACAGACATTATAAGAACATTATAGATCACTAACCAAAGTCTCACTTTTAATGATTGTTAACATTCTTGAGAGTGTAAGTGGACACCAAAATTTATTCAGTGCCTCTCAAAATTCAATGAAACAGCTAACGTGCTTTCGCCCTCGAGCTGCTACCTTTATTGCAAACACCTCTAATTTTTCTTTCACGGACAACACTGCTTTTTTTTTCTAAACCAACGATGCTGACGCTAACACAGCCAACACGAGAACTTCACCGAAACCAGCTTTTTAGTGCTGCTGTGTCAAAATGTGACCGCTCTCCAGGCCCACATTTGCTGCTGTCGGAGCACTATTATAAAAAAAAAAAACGCTGTGAGGAAATAAGATACATATACAGTTAGAAAGTAGATTTCGTTACAGCAAAATCACAGTCTATTAATCCATTGACATCCATGTACCTATTATGTATATCGAGCGTAATAAAATGCAAAGGCTCCACAAAAATGACCTTCTACACAGGTATCAAGGTTCTCTCCCCCAGCGAGAACCTTGACCCACAAACTGCGAGCGCCATCAGTCGCATCAAAAGAAAACAGCCCAGGTGGCAAACACAACCTAGACGCGGCACAAGGTGCAGTGTCATTACATAACTGACCAAACCAACTTGCACATTATTTTTAGGAATAGAAACTAGGCATTGGCAAATGTCATTTCCTTAGGTTCAAAGTGAAGTGAAAGAGACCTTCGAGCAGTAGCGAGGCTTGTATAGCCGTAGGGTACTAGTTACCACTGATACAATACATCAAGTCTTAAACATTATCATACTTAGCACAGACAAGCCCATATAGCACATTTTTAAACTTCAAAAAGAAGTAATTAAGGTGAAGAGAATATGTACATTTAACCTTGAAACGTGGCTTCAGTGCCAGTGCGAATTCTCCTAGATGAATGGTTTCACAGCGTAGAGCTTCCAGTCTGTAAGGAAGCCAACTTTACAAAGCTCATGCATTCAAATAAACATATATATTCGTTCCTTTTGAATAATTTGAGATTTCGAATGATCTAAATTCATGCCAAAGCAAATTAAAATACTGCAATACTTGTTAAAATACTCAAAGCGCTCAATTATTCACCTATACCTACAGTTTACAACATGCTTTCTGAAAATTGCTCCGCAAAATGAGCTGAGGTAAACGTATAAGGTTAAACGTGCACCTTCTTTGTTTTCTCCCTCCTTCGACCTCTCTGAGGCTGGCATTGCATTGGTATTGGCCAGATGTTGTCACATGAGACCACTCACAGCGTTCATTTGTTTACAATAACTTCCGACTACCATCTTAGTTCTCGAAAGATGTGTCTAAGCACGGTTAGCGCAGACTTAGTGGTATGAAGTGCGGCCTGACCAGACCCAGGCCCGATGTTTGCCAAAAGCAGGCGAGCCCTGCCCACTGATGTATAGTTGACGGGCCTCCCAGGCCCAGCTCGGTGTGTCATACCCAAAGCTTGGCCCGACTTGATCAACGATGCAATAAAGCACATGACAACACAAAAATAAAAATGTATTAAGAAAAAAGCGTGCCATCCTTCCCTGTAGCTTCTTTGCTTTCATTGTTGATAAAAGTGAAGACCTCCCGAGTGCAAAACCATTCACAAATTACTGCGCAGAAACAAAAGGTTGCATCTGAATTTTGGCTTCAATCGAGTGCATCGTTCCTGCATTATGTAACCTGCAGCAAACAAGTTGTGCTCGCTGCTGACGCTTGTAGCTGGAATCGCCAATATCTTTTTTGCAAGTTTGGCAAGTTTCAAATAGTTGTTTTTTTCCCCTATCTAAAACTCAAGAAGTTCTGATTCAGAGCACGCGCTTAGTGATTCAGTACGCACATACTCACTAACTTCATTCTACTTATGAACGTTGTCATCGATGCCACAACACTTGCTGAATGGTTACATGCTCTGAATTTTCGCATATTTTTTTTTTCACCAAAAGTGTATGCTCCCCTCAAAAGAAAGCACACAAATGAACAAGGACAATTCCAGCACATCTTTATTTTTGGCTTGATTCGGGCTTTTCACCAGGCTCGAGCCTGGCCTGATAAATAAACAAAGAAGTTTGAGCCCAGGCCCGGACCCAAGGTGAAAAGATGTCCCACTGCCCAAGCCCGGCCCGCTTTTGGAATACCTGGAGCCTATGCAACGCATCTGTTTTACGGATACGCACTTGTCATTCTGTGTGCATTGTGCTGTGAGACACTTTTCGCACAAGAATGACGTCGCTGTTGGTTGCCATCGGTACCTGTTACACCTTCTGATGCCAGAATAAGTCTAGTGACAGCTGAAGCTCTTTATGATACCACCTGTTTTAAGTGCAACGAGTTGCCACAAAAGACATGGTTGCATAGAATCGGAAGTGAGAACCTCAGGTCGACATTTTATACTCTTTTTTGCGTAGTAGGCTGAGAGTCTCTAACTATGAGGATGCACTGAGATTTGCTTAAATCGATGCCTGCTTTAACGCCTCAAACATATCACAGTCAATTATGTTCTCGCTCAGGTTTCATTAACGTTTCTGCATAGTGGGTTTTTTTCGTTTTTGTCAACAATACATGGTTACGTTTTCCCCTTGACGTTATGCGCCGACTAGTTCGGGTCTACTTTACTGGGCGCTGCACTTAGCAAGTGCGCGGAAGGACAATCGGAAATGTGATTGTGAAACTTTAGATATTTTGTGCTGCTGTTTTGAATAAACAAAACTGGATTGTGAAAACTGACGTTGAGGTTGGTACTCATCGTAGAAGTTTGTCACATGCTCGTATATATCAGAACAAATTGCTTTCTCTGGCTCTTTTACGTTGACCAATCAGCCATGAGACTCGCGATGCGAGGGCAGCTATGCAAAGCGTGCACGCCCCTACAACCCAGCCGGTGACCACGCAAATAGCACTGCTATCAACTCGCTGATTGATTTCATGCACTGTAAAGAAATGCCGCCAGAGTTTTCATAGAAGCTGGAAACTATGTGCACTGCCGTTGTGAAGCTCAAGCTTCCGTAGAAACAACTACGGATTTCAGACTACAGCGACGTGTTGAACCCATGATGCGCTCTTTAAGGTAAGAAAGGAAGTTTTGTTTTTGGGGGCCTACTATCTGAAATATTTATTCACTGGTGCCAATGGCGAGTTCAAGCTTGGAGCTACAAAAGGCAGAGTCGCCCATTTTTTCAACCTGAACGTGCGAACATCGACCGCCAAGTATGTGAGCGCTTGTTGCGGGTGTCCTGGTGTCTGGTTACCGACAGCCTAGCAGAAGACAGCTACACAGGACTGTTCATCGCAGGCATGCCCATCTTCTCGTTCATTTTGCTGCTGCACTCCGTTGAAAGCTGCTTATTGAGTGGGCGGTCGACGCTCACATGTTGAGGTTGAAAAAATGGGGGGCTGTACATCCGGCGACAAGTGCCGGCGCTGCTAAGCAGTATGGGCAAAAGGCGCGACATCTTCTCGCATGCAAAAATGCAAGTGACCACCTATAAAGTAAAACAAATGCAAATGCACCACTAGTTTGAGCTGTCTTAAGAAGCTACATGTAGAAAATAAAGGAGTATCTTTCATATCTACAATCTGTAGATCTGAAAGCTGTAGGATTTGGTCCTGAAGCCTTTGCTTCATTGCTAAGAATAGTTGTCTGTATGTACAGTACTTTCTCGAGTGCTTGTGCAAAGGATAAGTGGTTACCCTTGTTGTCGCATCCCGGCCCCCAGTGACCAGGATGTCGATGGTGGGATGTAGAGAGAGAGCATAGACACCGCTCAAGTGGCCGTGGTAGTGGCGTATCACCTGCACATGAGGTTGACACACAAAGCCAGATTCATTTAGAGAGAGAAGCCAAAGGCATCAAGCAAACAGGTATACACACACTGTCTCTCTCAAAATTTTCGAGATGTGCACATTTCAAAACAGAGGGTAGGCAGTCCTTTAAAGGTAATGTATACATGGCACATCTGAAATTTCGAACAATGCTAAAACTCTTCAGTACCTCATTTTTTGGAGGCCTTACACACGCTCTGTTTTAACTGCAGGTCAGAAACTGCATCATATGAAACCACTGCCTCTGCCATGTTAACATTGAGATAGCACTCTTTGCAGCTGCAGCGGTTCCCATGGAGTCAGTTTCACTGCAATGCAAAGGTGCCACTCACTAATGTGCACAAGTGCCCGCAGTGTCTCCATAAAACTTGCTCAATTTATGCCCACCTCAAGGCCAAGTGATGTAAAAAAATTTTTAAACAGCAATATTTACTAGAAATTATTGTTCTGTAATATAAACCACATCTTTTTAGGCACACATGAGGGCTATAAATCAGGTCACATTGTTTTGTTCATTTTTCATGACTATAAGTTTTATTAAAAGTATAGCTTGTGTGAACACTTTTTACTAAAGTTCTCCTCGTTTTCATTTTTGATTGATTGATATGTGGGGTTCAACGTCCCAAAACCACTATATGATTATGAGAGACGCCGTAGTGGAGGGCTCCGGAAATTTAGACCACCTGGGGTTCTTTAACGTGCACCCAAATCTGAGCACACGGGCCTACAACATTTCCACCTCCATCGGAAATGCAGCCGCCGCAGCCGGGATTCGAACCCGCGCACTGTCGTTTTCATTTTTTGCACGCACATATATAGTAAGGAACTTTGGCCTGTGCAATGAACTAAAACAAATGAGATCTGACAAATAGTAAAAACATGGTAATTAAATAATTAAAAATTAAATAATTATAAAAAGTATTCACTGGCAATAGGGGTTCCTCCATGTAACAGGCAACTACATTAAATCTTGCGGCATGCTTTTGCTCATTGAGGTTAACCAATGTGGTAAAAAAGTGTGGCAAGTTTTAATAAAAATGTTTATAAGCAAAAAAGCTAGAATTTTTTGCATATGAAAAAATGCCAGAAATACAAGTTTTGATAAAAATCAACAAAAAAGATTTGAAACAGGTGCAGTGCTTGCACAAGATACTCAGGAGGGCTATATTTGCAGCCAGTTTCATCATGGACTTTACTACTGTGCGCCTTTTTTCTAGGAGCGACGTAAATTATTTTTTTCCAGCCTGTTTTGCAGCATCAGTGACATGACCGGGCGCTTGTGAGGCACAGTTTTCCAGTGTAGAGGCCAGGCAGGATCCCAATTTGCTTGAAAATATCAAATGTGTTTTTATTGCCATTATTGAAATGATTCGCATCGTCTAACAAAGCAAACTTGATTGTTTGCCGGCTAATGTACATGTCCTTCAGCTTGAGCAACAAATTTACCAAGTTTATTACTCTTATGAATAAAAATAATGTGTGCACAATGCTCATTATGACATGTTCACACTTGATATGATTGCCAAATCGCCAACAAAATGCTACTTATCAAGCTAATCTTGTGATGCACACAAAAGTAGCACTTTCAGTTTCGTTGCACATTTCGAAAGAAACTGCCTAGACAAAAGTTTTCTGCAGCGAAATGACGGGCAATAAATTACACATCTAACATAACCAAAAACCAGAAAATGACATTTTGAGTTCCAGTTGGCCTCATGCTTTAAACCTATTAATGATTAAAACGTGGTTGGCCCGACAGTCTACTTAATGCTATGCATACCAAGACTAAAGCGCAATGTCCTGTGGTATGCAGCGCCTACAGGTTTGCATGTTCACTGATTGATGAATTCACTGATGATGATGTTAGTAGTAAAGCATGAATTAGTAGTGCTTCCACATTACTTGCATGGTTCCTCCAGAGTCTAAAAAATTGACTGTAAGCTAATTGGGGGCAAGGGAAGTTCTTGCCAAGTACTGCAATCTTGCATTGTGAGAGGTTGGTGGTAGTGGGCAGTCGACTGGACCACTGCCACCCACTGAGATAAGAACGTTGCCCACTGTGCAAAGTTGTATCACTCACGTAATCCTGCACAGCTGGCATACTTTGAACACAACACAAAATAAAGGTACTTTTTAAACATACAGTGAAACTACAGCTAAAACTCCATACTTCTACAAACTTCAATATAAAATAATTCTCAATGTAACAAAGCACAGCGAAACATCGTTAATACATCACTGCCAAGAACATGGCATAGCTACGCATTAACCAGCAAGTACTGGATCTCCTGATGTGCACCGACTTCGCCAATAATGAATTAAACACTATGTGACATCAAATATTGCCTAGAGTACCCACCAGAAAGCCTTTTCATTCTTTTCGTCAAAGCACTGATCCTACTTTTTGCATGCCAACAACTGGCACAGGATAGAGAATGAACACACATACTGGCTTACCATGATACACACGTGTGCATCTGCACCGAGATTTTGTGGAGTTCAAGGTGCTGCTTCATCACCTGTGTCCACACACTACTGTAAAAATAATACTACAAAAACTTGGAGAGGTGTCCTTTTAATGGTGAAGATTTCACATTTCTCTATCTCATTTCAATGCTTGCCTATGACTGGTGAAAAGTGCACCATGATTATGTATACAATGTATCGATTCCAAGGCTTGAATGTTCATGGCTTACGGTAGCCTTTTGAATTTCACTGAGCTTAGTTTTTCATTTTCGCTGAATTTTGGGGTACTTAGGATGCCTTTTAACAGTTGGCATAATTTGAATAGTTCCGAGTCCCTGTGAAACGTGCTGTACCATTTGTCCAATGTACAAGTATGGCTGCACTTGCCTTGTTGTACTCAAGGTCCCAGCACTTGACCTGCTTGTCCTCGCCGCAAGAGAAGAGGTATGGCTGACGTGGGCTCACAGCCAGGCCTCGCACTCCACTGATGTGTCCAGTCAGGGACAGCTTCAACTTCCCGGTGGCCAGGTCCCAAATCTACGCACACGAGTCACAATGAGAACTGAATGCTTGAGCACAGCTTCAATTTCCCCATATGCGAAATGCAGAGGTGCCTTTATGTGACAACTTCCTAAATTACTTGAACTGAAACAATCCCCTTATAGAATCGCTGCATACTTGTGAGGGTACCGTGGGTGCAACTATTACTTAGGTAAGTGCCCAAATATTGCAGGAAAGCAAGCATGCCTCTAGAGCGTCACACTCTCACTAAAACTGCTGGTGGCAGCAAACCCTCTTACTCTCGATGTTACAGTGTCTCATCGAGAGCAAGGCGATGTACGATGCAGGCCACGTTCTTGAATACACAGTGGAGGCCATCAACACAGATCGCACCACTGTCGTGGCTTTGATCCTGCGAACAAGTGGACTTGTAAACCCCCCAGACAACATCTCTGTGGCGATTGAGTTCACGGGGAATAATGATCATTCAGTTTTTCTAACACAGTGTTTGCTTGCAGGCAATGCCAGTCCCATGCTTGTCTTCTGTTTAGGTTGGGATGATGGGGAGCTTGATTCACCTACCTAGGCTTTGAAATTCGAGGATTGCTCCTGGAGTGCCAGGTGTCGAACCGATTGAAAGTGCCACTTTCATATTTGCAATATGCTTCACCTCATTACACTCTCGTATTGTCGCAAAGCTATTTTTCAGGCTCCCCTAAGGTCGAATTTCTCAAAGAAATAGGGTCAACGTCGAATTAAAAATGGCCCCTTCACGTTTTCAAGAAGCTTCACCCCATTGCACTCATACTGCGGCAAAACTGTCAGTTGCAGATAGAGATTGTGGTGAGGTTGTTGTGAAAGCACAAGCAGTGCATACCAATTGAAGCTGACGCAAAACTACGACCCAGAAAATCACACTTAAAGCGAGTATCCATGCCACCAGCCTCAGGTAGCGACTCCTTCAGGTGCTTGGCCCCTGCATCCCGCCTTTGTGCCAATTCGAGGTCCGCTTGTCAACGCATCCATGCTATTTCTGCTTCGCGCATTCTCGGCTCGGGGTCTGCTTGTCTTTACGTCCGCTTCACAGCGGCTTTCAAGTTCGCTAGTCGATGAGCCCGTTTAGCTTCAGACTCACGAGCCCTCGCTGCTGCCGCTGCCTTGATGCTGGGGACCAAGTGGCGGTAGCGAGCGAGCGCTGCTGTCACCACGCGAAAATCTCCAAGTGAGTGCTGCCAGAGCGGCGGCACATCACCTAGTGAGCACTCGCACCATCCAGAAAGCACAGTGGCAGGGACGAGAGACAGGCCCGCCAGCATTATAAAATTTAGAATAACAGATAGCTGAACTAGTTCGTAAATGTTGTGGGAATTCAGGCATCCGCACCAGTGCTCGTCACCATTTTCTCTTGGAGAATTCTCGCATCGCTCTCCTCCCGACCAGACGGATGGCGGCTAGTAATAAATTGCTGTCACTTCGCTGCCATACACGCCCCTCAAAGTTTAACACGGTGTCCCATTGGCCCAATTTTGGCGGAATTCAGACTTTGCTCACGCTCGCCCAACATGCGGGACCGCGAAACGGGGTTCGGGAGACCACTTCAGGGTTTCAGAGGGTGCGTATGTGTTTTGGCCTCACAGGCCAGCGGGGATCCTTTGTTTGGTTATGTTTGGTTATGTTGTTTTGTGAAACAGTGGTTATGTGAAAGGTGCACGCTCCTTTACGAAGTCTTGAAGTGCCGAGACAGCACGCCTTGCGATTGTGCACCATATGTTCCTCTCAACTGTTGCTGTTGCACGCTTCATGACGCCAGAACAGCGATTATGGCACATACTCTTGACTGGTCCATATATCGAAAATATCAGTTCTGAATTGCCTCCAACTCTGCTTTGCCGTACATTGGCTTACCAATTCTTCTTCACCTCACATGATTATCAGGCGCAATGAACTGATTTCACTCCAATTTGTTGAACAAGTTTCCGACAGCTGAAGCAGTAATAACAGAGTGTAGCTGACAAGCTCGAAATCTTCATATGCTGAATGCCTAGCACTAACATTGTGCACAGGCTTTATGAAGAAATTAGTGTGGAGGAGATATTTCCTGTAAGAGTTGTAGTAAAAGCGAGAACAAAACCAATGGAAAGGCACCACGTTATTTCATTCTTCCAACAGACGAACTTTTTACAGCGAAGATGACGCAGTTATCCACGAAAAAGGCCAGCCTGCTTTCATGTTTTTTGTATATTTTTTATTGTAATCTGTGTTTTCTTTATTGGCATCATGTTCCATATAAAGTCCAAATCCGTAACTCGTGCATGCGCAGTGTCTTTTGTACTCGCGAGTAAAAGCTCACGAGTGCCAACAAGGCACACGGCTGAAGCATTTCCTTCTCACTGAGGGCACATGCGATAACATCACTTTGCGTGTGGGGCCTGCCGTCGATTACACCTGAACCAGAAAGAAAGTGGCTTTTTTTTTTATCAGATAAAGGAGTAAGAAGGGACACCGGGGCAGAGGAGCTGCATTGCTTAAACTGCAACTCTGAACTTTCACTACAGTCGATCCTGCATATATGGAACTCGGATATATCAAATTATTGGCTATATCGAACAGTTGAGAAATCCCCTTATATTTCCCTTGCAAAAATATGGCACTTTTGCAACCATATATCGAACTTCCGCACAGTGGAACATCCACCATGTCCAATGCTGCGCCACATCGCAGCCCAGAAAGTGCATTTTTCCTAGTAATTATTGATCAATTTTTAGCTGTGTTCTAACAAGTGCTGATCCCTTTCTGTGCTCAGATGATAAAAAGACGGTATTATTCCATCACGCTGATCGCATTGGTACGTTTGATGCACAATCTGCTGCTGCAGGTCCTAACGTGCAGGCATAACATTCTTCAAAAAGACCGATTGCCGAGGACACCAAAATGAGAATGCGAAGTGACTTGGTGATCTCGTTGCAATGTTCACATCTCCTTCCTTGTTTGCTAGTGCACAATGGCACACGAGCCTGAAAAGCATGGCCTTCGAAATGTGAAACTTCACAAGTACGTAGGCAAGGAGGACCAAGGGGGGCCTAGGCCCCCCACTGAAATTCCTCCAGTTGGCCAATAACGCCAGAGTATAAAGGCACAAGTACAAGTAGTGGCCTGCACATTTAAACAAATGAAAAGCAAACACTATTTAAGGAAAGCAAAAACGTTTATTAGAGAAAAAAAATGCCACTTGCATTTTCTTATGGGGGGAACTAGAGTAAATGCGTTGCAGAGTGGTGGGGGCAAAGCGTGAATGTTACATAATTAGGCATGGTTTAGGAATGCTGAATTGTTGTTTCGTCTTTATTCTTATTTTTTGAACGAGGGAGAAGCGCTGCCTTCAACATCAAGCAAAAGCCAAGTAAAGATGCCCTCGACTGAATTTCTAATGCCCGATCCAGTGCCTACATGTACGGGGTGGCCAGTGAACGGTTATGCAGCGCAAGTGGTTGTTTTTAGGGGCGAAGCTTCTTAAGCCGTGGGTCATGCATCCTCGATGTATGTAGTTGTAGGCAGCCACCTTTTGGAATGTACGCTAGATGGCGGTACTTGTATATGATGAATATATGATGAAAAGATGCGAGGTACTTTCAGTGTTCATGGACAGACGGATGGACAAACGGACAGACAGACACAGACAGACAGGTGAACAAACAGACAGACAGGCAGATGCACATACAGACAGATGGACGGACGATTCACGGTTTACTGATAAAACCCTCCAAAGCTTCGCTCCACTTATCATTCACTCCGCGAATTCGCTGTGATTTTTTTTACTAGCAGATGATGCCTGCGTCTGCCTTGCGAGACGATGTGGGGAGGGGAGCGACAGTTTCGCAGATGTCTTTTTGGGCCAGTATGGGGCTGGCATGAGACTGGAGCATGCACATCGTTAGGGCCAAACCTCATAAGCGCGAAAATGCACGCGACAGCGACGAGCGACGCGACGTAGATCGTCTTCGCGCGATCAGTCGCTAGCGCAGGCAAACCTCATTCACGCGACGGCTTCGGCGAGCGAATTCCACTGTTGCTGGCATGAGGCCGTCTACTTGCACCAAGAAAACCGCGTAGTGAACAGTATGCAATTTAAAAATAAAATATATTGTATAATAAAACGGAAAGTGTTTATGAATGCCTTGCAGCACTTTTTTTATATCCACATGCGTAAACATTGCGTTATTTCTTGTTGCGCATACGTGCCTCGGGCAGGGTCACGTGCACCTACGTAGTCTTTGTCTTTTCCGGTTTTCGCTATTGGCTGCTTGAGCCCAGCACTTCCGGGCGATGAGTGACGGTTTCCAAATCTGGAGAACCGAGCGATTGCGCAAAAACGAGCACGCGACACGTCGCCCGAACGCCCCGTTTCGTCGCTCATAGCATCGCTCGTCGCTGTCGCGTGCATTTTCGCGCTTATGAGGTTTGGCCCTTAGAAGCTGGTGGGTGGGGGTTCTAGTCCAGGCCTCCACTGGCCTCAGCAGCTCGCCGCACTAGGTCCAGGAGTGCCGCATGGGCCATCTTCTCCTCACTGGCAAGCAAGGTCTCCCACTGTTCAGTCTTGAATTTTTCCACCAGAATCTGAGGCGTGTTAATTTTGACTGGCCAACTAACCAAGAACAGCAACCAAAGAACCTTTATTTTGATAGCACGGCAACGTTCGCCAAGAAATTCAGCGCCTGGCCTGTGAATCAACTACACAACAGAAACACCACTCACTCATATGCCTGAGGCGTCAGTGAATCTATTGCCCATACAGGAAAGAAGACATCCGAGTGACTCACAAGCCTACGACCAAATTCTCTCTACATACAGTTAAACCTAGATATAACGAAATAGATGAATTCCCAGAAAAATTCGTTATAAAGAGGTTTTCGTTATATGGAGGTTCGGCACAAAAATTCGGAAAATAAATGCGCAAATTAAACAAAAGGGAGACTGAAGGCAGAGCTAACCCCAAACACCTATTTCACAGTAAAAAACTGCATTGTTATTGCAATAGC